ATTCGCGAGACCAGGAGATTTTAGCCGCTCTCCGTAGTTATCTCCTTTGTTAAAGGAAAACGGCCGTATACCGTGTATGTCGAAGTTATACTTAGAACATGGCAAATACCAAATGCCTGGATCTATGAAGTTGGCATGACATTTTATTAATATAAAAAAATATGATAATTACAATAACACTTTTCATAGTTCTACAGCTCCTTATAAAGATAAAAAGTCCTGCACTGTTTACAATAAAAAATAAAAAATGAAAATATGGCGTGCTGCTAACTTCGCTAATTTATCACGACATTTCTCCCTCTAAAATAGAAGAAAATGATAAATATTATTACTTTTGGCAACAACCAATATATGTAATTTCAAAACAAAATTCTAACAATTATCCATTTTTATACGTCTTAAATATAGCACAATTCTTGAAGGAAAAGTCGTAACATATTCAATTAAAGGGAAATATATTGTGCTGGAAGTTTTTTATTTTTGATTTTTTAATATTATAAAGCAGAATATTTTTTAATTTTCATCAGGAATGGTGAAATTATAGAGTGTTACTGGAACTATCTTGGTTTTTTAAATTAATAAAACGCCGTGCTAACTTTACAAATTCTTCTTTATTCGCAGAGACGAATTTTACACTTTTCTATCCAATGTTAAATTCTATTTTGCATATCATGTGCTGCAAGTTAAATAGTTTCAGGTATATATGTATGCCATTCGTTTTATTGCGATTCTCGGTAAATATATTCCCGAATGTGTGCAGTCTGTCTACATATTTTGTAAAAAAAAAAACTCAAAGATATACTGTGTATATTATTCATCAAGTATTTTGACATAAAGAATATCTATATCACTACACTCTCCCAGCATTACTATGTACTGTACGAGATAAAAACGTATGTTCCACGATAACGTTTTCATTATAAAAATCGCACTACTATTCAAGCAGAAACTTTTCGCGAGTCAACTCGACACCTGTGAAATTATGAATCGCACGATTAAAATGCAGAGAATGCCGATTACCTTCGTCCGTTTTTACTATACAGATGCAATTTTTTTGCATTTACATTATATTAATTCCAATGAGAAATTCAATTTGGCCGTGATTCCAAGTTTCCGTCGATAGGTATCGAAATATAAGCAGGAAGTTAACTCGCCCTTGACCTCAGATGTTCAAAACCTGTCGAATTGCACAAAGAACACATCAGTAATCTGTCCCCTTCTCCCTCATGCTAAAGGAGAACGAGCTGAAGTCTTTCCGAACCAGGTCAGGGATCTCTTCTAGTACGGCTTACTTTTTCTAGAGCTAGTTGCTTGCCCCCGATCCGGAACGCGAGCTCATGTCAAAGGTAAAAGCAAGTTTACCGTTGGCCATTCACTTTTGACGGTCAATCGTGCTGAATACATCACGCACAGAGATACGCGTTCTTGCGCCTGAGAAACATGACTTGTTCACAGTGTAAAAAAACAACAATTACAGTGAATAATTATGAGACCCACTATTAATGTGTAGAGTATAATTCTAAACGATCTTATTCTAAAGATGATACAAATGGAGATGATACACAAACGGAACATGGAACGAAATAAGATTTAAATTTAATTTTTGAAGTTCAAGTTTAACTTTTTCCTATTTGATACTCTTCAATATCCCCCACACGATAAAAAAGTTACCAAACTTAAATCTCGAAAAATTGGATTTTTAGTTTATTCAAAATTGTAACATGTTTTGTAAATTGTACTGCCTCCTATCCTGTAATATTTACACGTAAAATAAAGTCACGGCTTACAAATAAAATTGTTCTTGCAATAATTAAACAATTTACAAAAGTAATAAATTTATGTATAAATGGAGCTAGTTTATAAAAATATTTAAGAATTAAATTATCAACGTTTTTGTTATCAAAATAATAACATACCATGTTATTAATGTGTACATAATGTAATGTGTAAATAAAAATATGAATATAATATGTGTGATATATTATATGTAAAAAATTTAAGTTACAATTAAAGGTAAAAGTATTAATTTTTGTAAAAAAAACGTAATTTTATATATTTCTACTAACTATAAATTACATAATTTTCACACATATTATTTTACGTACTTTTTTTTATAGCAGGCTGAATGATAAAAGAAGTAGTCATTTTCTACTTTCGCCCAAATTAGACAATTATGCGAGATGAATCATATTCCCTAGCACATTCAAATAACTAGAGAGTGAAAAGACTTCGTTTTGCGCGCATGGAAAGTAAATGTATACAAATTACATGGAACAATTTAAGTTGAAATTAGTGAACTAATCGTCGTTTGTAAACGTTCGTATATATTTCATTTGCGATAAATTAATATTTTTAATTGTTTTCATTTCATAACTACATACAAAAGTCTTAAACTAAATTAGACAATCTAAAGATAATAATATAATAAAAAAGGTAATAAAAGTAAAATAAATAGAACATAATAAAAAAACTTGATCTTATGGACTAATAACTTGAGGAATTCATGAGAATGTAAACAAACTCGCTGCTCTTTTTTAAAAAAGAAAAAAAAGAGGGGCGACTAACTCTTTTGATTTATTCATTGAGAAATGGACCGTGTCTTCCCTGCGATTATCGATTCGATTGTATTCACAACGGCGAAACCCGCAGTCGCCTTTCCCTTATCCGCGCACCGACCGGAAGCGCTCGTTGCTCATCGGCCGCGACCTCAAATGCGTCGCCTTCGCTGTGATGATGACGACGACAACGACGACCCGCGCATGTGGGTCGCACTTAGCCCACTTCACCGGCAGTCCCAAGTCGCGACATCGTCGCACCGGTCGACTCGAGGCGATCCCACGTGGAAAATTCCAGATCGCAATCGCACGATAGACAGCGCGGTGCGAGCTTTCGAGATCACAGCCGCGTGTCTTATCTCTTATCGATTCAATGACTGCAAATCGGATCGGGATGTTCCGCCACCGGCGGACTATCCATCAAATACAATATGCTTAGGCTTAGAAATCTTTGTACTTGAAGAATCCAGATTCAAATCTGGATTCAGATTCCGCTTTAACAATAAATGATGAATAAATAAACGATATAATTAATCATTCATTATATTTTATTAGCAATTTGCACTTTCAGTTCTGATCAATATAATAAAATAAATTTCAAACACTTTCTCGAAAATTTTTAGAATGAATTTCATTCTGAAGAATAAAATCTCATTCTGAAAGATTTAAAATTAAGTTACTCTTTTTCAAAACTGAAAAACAATTTTCACTCTTTAAAAAGAGATTTCAAAAGAATTTAAAAAGTCAAGGAAACTTCTATACTACTTAATTTTTGTTACTATTTATTTATTGTTTGATATATCTATTATTCTATCTATTATTCTATCTATTATTATTTGATATCTGTCATAGATTTTCAATCTTAATTCTAACAAACTTTTTGATTGATCAATTTGTGGTATCAATTTATCCTTAAGAAAAACAAAGTTCTTGTTGCAATTTTCTAATATTCAATATGAAATATTATGAAATGTTTCACATCAATGTGAATGTTGAAAACTTTTGCTAAACAGAAGAAGCCTGCACGAACGTCTTGAACGCACTTTACGTGAGAACGCATTGTTCAGAGCCGTTGTGGATATATTACTTAAGGATACCCGACGGAAATATTACAGGCCACGCGGAACTTCCTCGTATACAGAAGAATAACGGCAGAATCGCTTCCGTGCTGCTCACAAAGGAAATTAAAGTCTCTGTGTCTTAAGGGAAACAAAGTTCCGCGACTTGTTAATTGTCAGATGCGCGAAGAAAAGGTGGAGTGCATTAATTAAACCTCACGGGCATTAATTACATAGCATATGTGTTTACTCCACAACATGACTAATCAAAAGTAAGAGTCGTTTCAAGAATCCAAGCAACTTCTGATTGCCAATGTTCACATCACAGTCTTTGAGGTGCAAAATAATTTATATTTTTATGCTGATAAGTCACGTAAACTCTTTATGTGACTCTGTCACATAAATCTTAAAAAAACACATACAATTATTAAAAAATTTCTTTAATTAAGGCGTTGGAAATAAGTAGAGGTCGTAAAAGACTAAAATTTTCATTTGCAAAAAATAAAAGCTATAAAGTTTAAAAAATTTTCATTACATTTATTAATACTTACTTCAATTAACATTTTTCGATTAATTAATTTGTTTTTCATGTCAATATCTCGATTATATGTACAAACTGGATTGGAACGCGATATTAAAAAATAAGATACCAAGATTGGCTTGTGAAATCACGTATTATGTCGGAGCACGTTTCAAGATAATAGCGATTGCCAACTTCCTTGCCCCGTTCAAGACTGCGCGACGGCAGGTAGAGTGTATCCAAGTATGCTTGCTTGTTTACACGATTCTGACGAGTTCCACGGCGGTGTCTTGGCGGCGGTCGAGCGGAATTGTAAAGCCGCGCTCTCAACGCGCTCGAATCGAGCGAGCGGCAATGAAGGTGAACGATAGCAAGAGCTGCCAATTTCGCGAACGCGCATAATTGAGGACAGGTTCGTCCATGTCTCAAGGAAAACACATCGAGACACGTGCGCGAAATTATCCCGCAATCCGAGCCATAAATCGCACAAGAGTTGGTAGCGGCTTGAACGTGAAAATCCCGTGACTTTGCCATTCTGGTGCGCGAAACATCGAAACTGGTGCCAATTTGCAATTGCCAATTCTCAGAACCGGAAATATTTTTAGTGTCCGCGTAACAGTCGCGCTTTATGCGATGCATTCAAACGCGTCTGTTCGCCTCAATAAGGTAATCTTCGATGCTACACGGAAGATCGTGTGAGATATATTTGTGAGATACATTCGATATAATCCCCACGCGCTATTTTAGAAGACAAAGCAAATGTAGTTACGGCACAAAACGATAATTTTATAGTATAAAATGTATACTAAGAAAATTGTGCAATTTCCTTAAACAAAGGTACTTGTTTCAAAAACCCTTTGTACTTACCATCTTTAAAGTCTCCTCGGGCCTCAACAGATAGAACATAGACTGTAAGTGTTGCTGAATATCGCATCCTGCCGCCGATACTCGCCTCGAAGGACGAGCCCTTTCGTTCGGCGGTAAAACTAGGGCTGCTCCCTTGCCCGCGAAGTAACATTCGCTCAGACTGTAAAAATAACAAACATCAATACTTCAATAAACTATTATGATAATTTAATCATAAAAATTATACTCAATATAGGATAATATTTTATAATCACCAAATAATTTAAATACGTTAAGAAGATATTAATTTCAAAAATAGATCGAGTGATAATCGGAATAAAATTTCTATTTTAATCGAGGGCAAGATATTCTGCTTCCGTTTCAATAAAATTATTAGTCGAGAAATATAGATTGAGAGAGAGAGAGAGAGAGAGAGAGAGAGAGAGAGAGAGAAGTCTAGAAAAATGTTTATTTAGTTCAATTTAAAAGCGGCTCCTAGACGATATGAATACTTATATTATGTAATTACTTTATACAATATTATGTATTGTACATTTTCTTTAAATTCAAGGTAAGCAGTTTAGAGACTCAATATAGCTTCCAGATGATTAATATTGTGCAATATCAAATATTGTGTAATAATATTGATTGTCTAGGAACTGCATAAAAACATGGACTTGGGGTTTACAAAAGGACTTCTTATCTCATTCACTCATTCTCTCACACTCATTTTCTTTCTCTCTTCTACAGCCTTTTCTTAATTTATCCATTTCTCACATCCATTATTCTATCACTTCTTTTTTCTATCACTTCTTTTCCATTATATTCTCATCCATTATATTCTCTGTTCTCAACTTCTTCCCTTCTCTTTAAAATATGTCTTAATATTCAAGTCTAGAGAAATAATTATTTTCCTAGATTTAATTATCTCCATTTAATTAACTTCATCAACATATCAACTTGTACACGTGTGATAATTAAAATACAAAAATAGTTAGCGAGTTTGTTAATTAGACAATTTTTTTAAATAGCGATTAAAATATTCGACACGCTGGCGCTGCTGGCAATATTTTTCTAATGTGTCTACTTTAAATATGAGACAGAATAAAATATTGCTACATAAATACTACTAGTTTTCGATAATTTAAATTTAAAAAATTCAATTTAATGAGTATTATCAATGAGTATTATTCAATCAACGAGAAAGAAAAGAGATTTAAAGAATTCCTAAAGTATCATAGATATATATAGCATATATATTTATATTTTAAACAAACTATGTACATGAAAGTTATGTATATAACATTCTATTTTATATATAAGAATAAGACACATTTTTATAGCTTATTTACTTCATTTGTTATTATTTTTGTTATAAATTAAAATTTTTTTAAATAATAAAAAATCTCTAAATGATTTTGTATAAGTACTTTAAGTATTTAAGCGAAATTATTGTGCTTTTGTCTTAACGCAGTATGGTATGTTTCTCTTATTCTAAATTCGGTGAGAAATCTTGAATAATAAATTTGAGAAATCGACATGTTGATAACGAGAATCGAACTTTTAATGCAATTTAACAGTTTCAAATAGCTATCAATTTTAATCTTCAGTATCAAGACAAACTATTTTAATCATATGCTCAACTGGTTTTGCGGAATCAGCAATTAACAATTCAGTAAACTCGTAGACTATCCGAGTGAATTAATTAACTACATGATCCACTATGAGATCGATATATATGAGACCGATACGAAACATGCTCGACAAATATTTCATTGAAATATTCGAAAAGTCCATTTGTATTTAATTAAAACATAAGTGAAGCATTTTGTTATTTGGTTGCAATCTTTTATTTTCAATGACTTCGCAATTAAAAATAATTCGTGCTTGTATAAACTCTGACCACTTTAGTTGAAGAAGTATTACTTTCAGAATAATCATGTTGAGAACGTGTTAAAAATAAAATCAGATATTTTAAAGAGATTTGTAAATCTTAAAGCCATTTTGACTTAACTATGTCACTAGCAGTTACATTAACCGATCATCATCAATTAGTTTATTTTAATTTAATTAAATACTTGCTTAGAATACAATCTGAAATATTTATGCGAGATTGTCTCGGGAAAAAAGCGTTCACAACGCTTCATGATGTATCGACCAAACAAAATCGCTTCATGAGAACATACCTAATCTACAAATCGAATCTCGTATACATGTACGAAGATAATGCACAAAAGGTCGACGCACTGCCACGCTCAGCCAGTTCTTCCCGCAAACATTATTTCACGTGTTTCATCCGTAAATTAACGTTGCTCGAACGCTTTATTATATTTACGCCGCGCTTCATCATTACCGCCAGCGATTGCTCTCTCGATGCCTTAGTATAATGAGACGAGCGTCTTTCTACGCACGCACGCATGTAACACGCGCACAGAATCTCTTGCACGACCAACAATCGCGTGTCTAAATTACGTATGTGTGCGTATATGCATCGCGATTACGCGGTGCCATTTTCTCATGGTAAGTAAACCGTCACACATTTTCATATGATAATGACCACTGACCAGACGACGCACATACATATGCCATTTAGAATACGCGAACTTCCGTTATCGTGCGCCATAATAGAAAGTAGTTTCTCTGTTGAAACTTTACCAGAATATATAAGAATAGGCAATGCATTTATATCGCTCTTATACCACAATATTTATACAACGTGCGAATAATTGTCTCTACGATCGTGCATGTAACATTACATTAAAGTTTTCATAACTGATTCTATTGTCCTTACTATTCTTTTGAGACATAAATAAGTATAATACGAGATATAATATGAAATATAATTAATAAAACATACATATCTGGAAAGAATATTTTAGTAAATGGTTTTGCTGAAATATTTACAATTTTAGCTAGACACAGATTTGAAAATAATTTATGTTAAATCATCAAAATAATTGTATAGAATGTTTTAATGTTGATAATAATGTAAAGAATTTTAATATTTTAGCAACTGCAATTTAAGAGCCCCACAATTATTTTAATGATTCAAATCAAATTATTATTTTCAGCACTATGTCTTGCTAAATTTTTAAATTTTAGCAAACTTTAACAAAACCGTTTTTTCAATGTACAATTTTTACAACATTCGAATATTAAATAATAAAATTTTCGCTCCTTGTATACAAAAGTACAGTTAAATAAATAAAATAATATAAAAAGTACAAAATAGATAAAATGTTAATCAAAGGATTAACGCAGGTAAAAGCGAAAAAATAATTCATTATTTAAATAACATCAATTTTTATCTGATATATCTTGACATTGTACAGTAACATTTTTTCTGATATTCGTACGTTATATAAATTTTCGTTTTACAGATAAGTTTATTATTTTAACGCGATTCAATTTAAATAGGTCAGTCTCTCTCTGTGAACGATGAAATTATCATATCCATATTATTTCCAGATTAAAATGAATAAATCAATGTACCTTATCAATGATAACCACGATGAAAGTGACAATGATAAATGAGCAAATCCGCTTAGGAAATCAAAATGGAAATCTGTTACCATTAAAATCGGCAGATCGATATTTGATGCCCCTCTCTCTCTCTAATTATGTTATCGAGAATCACGATACTTTCACACGACCGGATTACCGTGACGCGATTCAATTATGCGCACGAGCTTATTAACAAATTGGGCCAAGTCAATCTCACTCAACGTTCTCTTAATATTCATTGTAAAATCGATCAAATTGGTGTTCTGGTTATTAATCCATTCGATAGTCTGGCGTAGTTTGCATACAGATTAAATTATCAAGCAAGGTATACAAGATGTCATAGAATTGATGAAAATTAAGCACTGTTCATAAATTTAAGATAATTTCTTTTAGCAAAAATGTTAAAAGACGTGAGAACATTTTTCATAATAATTTCACAGAATCAATCAAGGTTTTAAACAATTTAAACGAACAAAATAGAGATACTAAATAGACAATATTAATAAAGTAGTCCCTAGACAATTAATATTATTGTATTTTATAAAATTATTAACAATATTATTAATACTCCCGTTAGATAATTAAAAATAAACATCAAGATTTTAATAATATTGTGCAATATTAAAAATTATGCACTAAGATTTATCGTTAAAAGGCCGCTTAAAAATTTTTAATATTATCCAATTTAATTATCCAATTTTAACTATTGTTGACACGCAGACGCCTAACATTAAAAAAAATAAAAATAAATTACTATCGTTCTCTTTTGGGAGTACTAGATTACGTTGGAAAACAATTTAAATATTCTGTGTAAATTATTACTATCTATCTAATGTTAAAGTATAGTTTAAATTACTGATAGCACATTTTATTTCATACTGAATTAATTCATCTTTTCTTGTACATTGAGAAAATGACACATGTCATAATATCTAATTATAGCCGACGATCATGTCTATGAAAATTTTTTATTTTTTAATATCTTGAAAAAAGGGGTCACTTGCGATAAATTAAAGATGTCGAACTTATGACAAAAGAAAAACAATTATTACATGACTGATAACTTTCTAATGATTTTATAATGATGTATATAATATTTATTATCTAACGGTTTTTTAATAGTTGTCAATATATTTTATCGTCAATAATTATCGCGAGGTTTCACATTTAGTCCACAGTTGGCCAATTATAACTGATCTTAATTACGAAAGAAGTTTCTCAATACATGATCGCCTTGTATATTCCACATCGCATTCGCACATAGATGTTTATATATGTATATAAGTAAGCGGGCGAGCAATTTGCAGAACATTAAACTCATAGCGGCAAGGCTCATAGCGAGCATCGCGCGAAGACACGTTGCATCGTAAAACGTAGTTTACAATGCATTTTACAGCGGTATCAGCCTTTTTACAGCTGACCACTAGCTATAGCACGGAATTTCGACCTGGTCGCCATTGAAGATTCTCAAGGCTGCGAAACGTTCGGCGCTTTACGATAGATGCACAGCTCCGACCGCGTGCGGCGCATAACTGCATAATTAACGAGAATGATTGGCCAAATAAATTGTGATGGCCTGCTCAAATAACGCCGGTGCGTCTGATCTCGAGCTGGAAACCAACACGCACATCAAGAGAACATTTAAATATCGTCGCTGATATGAACGTACATTGGTGC